CTTCAGGATGGAAAAATGTCAACTGAGACGGGCAGAACAAAAATTGTGAGCATAAGGCCAGGGGAGATGCGGAGAGGGGCCGGAGAAAACGCAGGTTCCTAGAAAGGAAAGGCGCTGACACCTGCTCAGCCATGGAACAGTGAAGAGTATCATTTTCAGAAGGCTGACCCAAACGGTTTCGAAATTTAGGGCGATGTCTCACTTCTACAGCTTGCCAAATGAAATGCCTGTGTGTTTTTTATTTTTCTTGTGACATGAGACTTCTAAAGAGTTATAGCAGAAAGGGAAATTTTGTTAAATTAATTTAATCACAGAGGAAACTGCAGGAGGCGGTTAGGCTGATTCATAATTGCCTCCTTGACAAAGTTCAGATGCATTAAAAAATGCTGCCTCAGTCATGCTATAATCAGATGAGGAATGGATCATTAGGCTTCCTCAGATAAATTCTTATAACTTAAGTAATATAACCAGAAATGCCTTGTAAACAGATGGAGTTATTTCCTAATTTGGGATTTGTTTGTTTTTTACATTGACATATAGAATTAAAGTTGTGAATAATTTGGGGAGGATGTTTGTGTATGTTTTTATGTGACATAAATTCATGTATGAAACTTCATATAGGAGTCCCTTGCTAAGAGGCAAAGCAAATGTGATATTGCCTCAAATTTATAATGAGGAAAAACAAAGCAATGACCCTCTTAGTAGAACAGTCTCCATGCAGGTAAGAGTTCAGGGGCGCTGCCTGGCCCAGTACCAGTGACTATCTTCCATTTCAAGTTTATCTTGAGTGTCTTACATGAATGTTTTTAATCCAGATGGCTTCACCTTGCCACTCAAAGATGTATGCCATAATTCCATTTTTGTCGAATAATAAAAACTATATAAATATTATACATGCATAGAGAAAGCCTGAAAATATATACAGGCGTATCTCAGAGATATTGCGGATTCAGTTACAGACCATTGCAATAAAGTGAGTGTCACGTGAAAGTGAGTCACATGAATTTTTTGGTTTCCCAGTGCATAGGAAATTTATACCACACTGTAGTCTATTAAGCGTGCCATAGCATTATGTCTAAAAAACAATGCACATACCTTAATTTAAAAATGCTTTATTGCTAAAAAATGCTAAGCATCACCCGAGCCTGTTGGAAAAATAGAACCGATAGACTTGCTTGACGCAGGGTGCCACAAACCTTCCATTTGTTAAAAACGTATTATCTGGAAAGTGCAATAAAGCAAGGTCTGCCTGTATATTAAAATGTTAATTGGGGGTTGTCCCTAGGTGATAGAGTCACAGTGATTTTCTTTTTGCCTCTTTCTCCTAATCTAGCCAAAATTATCCATGGATAAATTACATTAAAAATAGAAATTAAAAATAATAGAGATATTCCATATAGGGTCTTTAAATATGTTTTTTCTGATTAGGCAATTCTTATTCTGTACTTTTGTCCACAAATGTAACTAGGAGAAGACAAACCAAAAGCAATTGCCTTTTCTATTTCCAGAAAACATGTGACCAGCCTGTCCCATTGTCTCTTATGTCACTGGCTTGTAGGACATGACCTAAGCTTTCTCCTCTTTATCCCTGCCTCTCATTAGCACTTGGCATCTGGCAGGGGAATGAGTGGAGGAATGAAAGTGGCACAGTGCAGGAATTCGGGAAGGGTTGGGGAAGGTCACATGCTTAGTCTCCACTTAGTACTGACGCTCTGGAAAGATTTAGCTGCCAGCTGCCACGTGGATTAGCCTTAAAGGTCAGGTAGGAAAGAGCCAGGGAGCTGTTTTGAGGTAGAAAAGAACAATCTCCTACACTCTAACTCCATTAACTCTCCACCTTTGGAGTTCTGAGACGGATGCTTTGGCTCTCTGTCCCCAAGTCGGCTGGCACGTAGAGCACCATCCAAGGACTATGTGGCTGAGCTGATGGTTTGCTGTCCTGGGAGGAGCTACATCCACAGCGACATGACTACTAACTTGGGTGTATGCTCTGCATATGTGATCATACAGGTAGCAGGCATGCAGCACAGGGAAAAGATTTTGTGGTCGTTCAAGAAGTAAAATAAAATCTAAAAAGTGTGCCAGGGATGAAGGTCAGAGCTGGCAGAAAGAACAGAGACAGAAAAAAGAGAAAGTACCGCCCGAAGCAAAACAGACCAGTCTGACGTGCACACGGAAGGGCTAAGGAAGCCCCTGGGGGGTTCTGGTCACCAGCATCAGCGCAGGCCTGCAGTTCTGGGGTGAAGAGCCCGGCATGAGCAGCACCCCTCGGCGCGCACACTCGGGGCACCCAGAGTTTTAGCCCGTGATGCTCACCAGCCAGACTTTTTACTCAGAGACTTGTCGTAGCATTTCACAAACACCAAAGACGTCTTTCCTTTCTGCAGACGAGGCACCTTCTCCCGGGAACAGAAGAGCACCCTGTGGGGAAAGATGGATGTGAACATGCCACGTGGAACAACGGAAAGGGCTGTTCAGAGATGTACGGTTGGGTCAGGCTGGTCTGAGTGATTGTTCGGATATTTCCAATAATTAACGGTTTACACTCGGGCTATCCTGGTCAGCAACACATCTGAATCAGAGGGTTCTTTGAGGGCCTAACCCACTGTTCAGCAAGAAAGCTGGTTAATCGATCCTGATGGCGTACAAACAGCCTGGAGCAGCCTTAAAACCACAAGGCTTTCACCGAGGGACGGCACAAGATCGCTGTCGGGCCTGAGTACCTGCCTGAGGGAATCCGCAGACCAGCCTCCAACTGGCGCAGCTACAGAAACAAATGCTCTGCGTCTCCAGCCATACCCTCTTTTTTATTATTATTATTATTATAAAAGAAAATGCCCAAAGAGAAATAACTTATCAATCCTAATTTTAAAAGTCATATTTTTATTAACAATATTATATTAACGCTATAGTTTGCAAACCCCTGTACATTTAGTACAAAAGTTTTCGATCCTGTGGGGCTCTCCAGGCAATTCATTTTATAGACACGTGTAGGGCGGGACTGGGGGACAGGGTGAGATTCTCCTGGCATCTCATCCTCCTTGCAGAGGATGGTTCTCATCTTTGGATGTCAAAGTAACCCCTCCGAGGTTCCATCCATAACTGATTTGTGTTTGCAAGAAGCAGTGAAAAATGAGAAGCTGAGATTCCCAACTTCCCGTCTCAGCGCTCACACATAACTGTGACCAATGCAGGGCTTATGTTGGCTTTCCATGAAATTTTAAAATACTGTCACTTGCCCTGGCTGGTTGGGCTCCGTGGTTAGAGCGTCGGCCCTCAGACTGAAGGTCCTGGGTTCAATTCCAGCCAAAGGCACATACCTCAGATCCCCGCCCTGGCTGGAGTGTGGGTAGGAGACAACCAATCGATGATATGTCTCTCTCATATTGATGTTTCTCTCTCTCCAAAAGGCAATGGAAAAAATATCCTCCGGTAAGGATTAAAAAAAAAAAATACTGTTACTTCCCTAGTATGATAATTAAGGAACACTCCCCCAAAAATGATCGGTGTAATTATCTAGCTGATATAGTTTCTTTTATTTCTCAATTACAGTTGACATTCAATATTGTATATTCATTTCAGGTGTACAGCACAGTGGTTAGACATTTATATAATTTACAAAGTGGTTCCCCCCGATAAGCCTAGTACCCACGTGGCACCACACACAGTTATTACGATATTATTGACTAGGTTCCCTATGCTGAACTTTACGTCCCCGTGACTATTTATTTGGTCATTACCAATTTATATTTCTCAATCCCTTCCCCTTTTTCACCAAGGCCCCCTGTCTCCCTCCCATCTGTCAACCATCAGTGTGTTCTCTGTATCCATGAGCCTGTTTCTGTTTTGTCTATTTTGTTTTTTAGATTCCACGTATAAGTGAAATCATATGGTGTTCATTTTTCCCTGTCTGACTTATTTCACTCACTAGCTGATATCGTTTTAAAGACAAAGCTTACTAAAGTTTCACCGGAGTGTTGAAGGCTCCAGAAACACTATCTCTAAGTAAGGACATCAGAGTAAAATAGATAAAAATAAAAGTACTTACTTCTTTTGAGTCTCTCCTGCTTTTACTCTGACCTTCTCAATAACAAAGCCAGGGCTGCTCCACCAGTCGGACCAGCTGAAGTACGAGTCGCTCTTCCATTTGAGTTTCAACATCAGCAGTTCTCCAATGTCCACCTCCGTGTAAATGAGGAAGGAGTATGTCTTATTGGTGGAAACTTCAGGCCTGAATACAAAAATCAACATATTCGATTAGTTCTGGGAATCAAGTGTCTTTTTCCCTTTTTTTCCTCCCAAGATGTAAATAGCTTTATTGTTTGGTGGGGTGAGTATTTAAAAAATGCAAAACATGTCCCACAAAATACTCAAGATGAATGTCAATGGCATTTAGCGTATTTCAAAAGATATCTTCATCCCTTTCATCAATTCCAACTTTTATCCTAACAATATGAACTATTTAATACAATTTTAAAAGAAAAAAACCCATTAGCCAATTAGTCAGAGACATTATTTTCATTTTCATATATTCTCTTTAAATTTGTAAGTCACAGTGTACATACAATTCTCTGTTCTTTCTTTGTTCACTTCCTATTTTACCTTCTGCTTCTGCCATGTTTTACCTAGTTTTATGTAATTATAGTTTTTAGAGGCTAGATTGACTTAGTTGATTTGTTAAATCACAATTCACTAAACCATGGCCTCAAAGTTGGACGCTTACTTTGTATGCTATTATATGTACCACTGTAATCAACATCTTTTGCCATATAGCTTTTTCTAAATTCTTTTTAATATTTCTTTTTCGAGGTGCCCTACTCTTCTTCTGTTCCTCAGACCAATGCTGATGGCAGCTAGCAGTGCCATGGCAAACCCACACGCTGGAGGTCATGCATGTGGCTACTCACAGGGTGAAAGGGATGTTCTCACTCTCGGCCACAGTGCCGTACAGAGAGATGTCGAAGGCCTGGTTGGTCTGTGTGTCACTGTCAGTCCCAGAAAAATGTATCTTTACTTGGTAATGGAAGACTGTAGGGAGAAAATTGAAACAAGCGCTGGTCAGTCTTTATGGAGATACCACAGCCCCCCAAAAGCAGGCAATTCAGAGCCACAGACAGGATCTCACTAGTGATCAAGCAGGAAGCGCTCACACTAGACTATCAGTGTGGCTTGAAAGATTTCATGTCTGTACAGTGTTTGCTACTGAAAAAGTCAAACCTTGAATCCTACTCCCTTTCAGGAAAGTGTGGTTGTAGTGGATAGGAAAAATCCATTGACTACACATAAGCCAGCATTTCTGATGTTAGTCCTTCTAGCCAGGTATCTGACTATCTCCTCTCCCGTCTCTCCTCAGTTCCTGTAGGTCTTGCTCTAATCAAGTTCCATGTTTGCAATTCAAGTGTGAACAAATTCATAATGAAATGGAAATACCTTAGGAGGTTTGGTATATTCTCCCCTCCCAGGAATAGTTGTATTTTAAAATACAGGTGGCTCTTGCCTTCACTTATAGCAAACTTTAGGAGCTGAAAAACTTTTTCTGTAAAGGGCCAGATAGTAAATATTTTAGGCTTTGGAGGCCATACAGTCTCTGCCCCAACTGCTCAACTCTGCTGTGGTGGCAGGAAAGCAGCCGTAGTCAATACAGAAACAAATGCATGTGACTTTATTCTAATAAAACTTTATTTACAAAAGCAGGTGGTGGGCTGGATTGTGGCCCATGGGCCATAGTTTGCTGACCCTGGATGGGTGGTTTCAAATTAGCTCTGAATCTGGTGCTAATGGGCTGGCCCAAACTAAGGGTCACAGTTCCAGAGGAGGGTGGCCAGCAGGGTTGCTGTACAGGGTAGTGTAGGTTGTGCACTGGACCTTACTGGCAACAGGAATTCAGAGCTTCAGTAAAGTAGATCAGATCAACTTCCTCTCCACCAAGAAACACAAGTTTGGGCTCAGTGTTTAGTGACATCAGTTTATCATCTCTGTTGCAATGAACAGAATCAGTACATGTAATGCAATGAGCATGACCAAAAAATGGGATCAAATTGATTTTCCTGTTTATAGCAGTCTCGAGCTTACCTTTGTAAGGCATTTGAGAACGAGTCTTCAGGTACATTTTGCTGCTTCTTTTGGCTCTGACCTTATTGATCTCATAGCCCAAGTTGTTGCAACGGTTCTTTCTGCAGCTCAGGCAGAGCCCTTTCTCAAAGGCTTCCTTTGAATTGCACCGGTAGGCCTTACTGGGGTTTTCTTCATTCAACAGAGAGTCAATGAAGAGGTGAATGGAGCGCTCATGGGAGCACTTCACAAGCTGATCCACATCTGGGGGAAAAGGGAAGCAAAGAAAATTTCAACTCTGTGGCAGTGCTCAGTGAGTGCCTCATCTAGCAGGTCTAAAAGAGTTTGTGTGGTGTTAAGAATGAAATGTCCTCAGGCCCTGGCTGGGTGGCTCGGTTGGTTAGAGCATCATCCCATACACTAAAAGGCTGTGGGTTCAAGTCCAGTCAGGGCACATACCTAGGTTGCAGGTTTGATTCCCCCTGTCAGAGTGCATACAAGAGGCAACCGATCGATGTTTTTCTCTCATCTCTCTCTTCCTCCCTCTAAAAAAATATATCCTCAGGTGAGAATTTAAAAAAATAAAATAGAATGACCTCAGGATCTATGACTTTTTTATTGTATATTCTATTTAAGGGGGCATTCTTGGTGGCAGCTTCTCACCTACCTCCAATAATGTCAAAGTTGCAATTTATAGGGAACTTTGGGTTTTACTGCTGTCTTATATTTGTGAGTATGTCTAGGAAAATATAATAAGAGATATCCAAGGTAGAAGCTGATTTCACCCAGTTTATCATATCCTTCTCTTATAGTTAAAGCATATAATACTTCCAGATGCTTCTAGAAACATACTTCTAGAAACCACATCATAAGGGCAGGCATAATTATTAAATAAATAGTATTTTGTCATAGATGCTATATGAAATTCAAGGGTTTTGTTACTACTAATGATTTTTACATTAAGTGAATCATAGAAGTAATCATCAATGTCATAAGAGTGTATCTATTACCATAAACTTTTATAATTATTTAAAATAGTAACTTTATGCTGTAAGTTTTATAATGTGCACAAAAGTCTTGAACATATTATCTACAGCAGGAGTGGGGAACCTTTTTTCGGCCAAGGGCCATTTGGATATTTATAACATCATTCTCAGGCCTTACAAAATTATCAACTTAAAATTAGCTATTAAAAAAAGCTCCTAGATTTATTGAATTTCAAGTCCCACCTGCAATTGCCTTGGCAAGGCCAGACCAAATGATTCCAAGGACCATATTTGGCCCACAGGCCAGACATTCCCCACTCCTGATCTACAGGTATGTCCTATTTTCCACAAAGTATGCAAAGTTCCCATAAGACAAATAATAAATTTAACACAAGCTAGCATAGATATTAAAGTAAATATTAAGCCAATATTAAAATTTTGGAATATCTGTTGTTAGAGAATGGTGATTTGTCTCTGATTTGTGCATCTCTTTAAAATGCCGACAAAAGAAATGTGGACTAATTAACATGTCCCTTATTTTCTATAAAATTCAAAATAACCCCACTGGTCTTGCAACTGCATTCAAAGTATGATAACATGTGGCCATATGACATTTTATGCTGCTATTATGAAAGGCAGAGGAGTTTCCTTGTCTAAACCTCACCTTTCTTGTCTTTTGTCCCTGCAAGTGCTCCATGTAGTCTAGGTCATAGTGCATGAAAGATGAAGTGTCTGACCACAGGAAGGTGATCAAGCTGAACATGACACTTCATCAGTAACATAACTTGTCTAAATGTGTATATTAAAATGGCATACTGGCGGAGAATGGTAGAACGCTGGGTCAATAAGAGTTAAGAACACAACTTATGTTAAATTAACTTCTAAATCATATTTACCTCCAAGGCCTCTCTCTGCAATCACACGAATAGCTTCCCCAATGTTACAGCCGGGTTGAAAAGTGCCTCCATTAGGGTAAATGTCAACGTGCCCCACTGGTTTCTGGATTCCAATACTTCGGCCAGGTGACCCTCTGGTGAACGTGTGTAAGACGTCTACAAAATCCGCGTCGTCTGGAGAAAGGCGACTTGGAGCTTCTGCATACTCAAAGTTAGGTCCAGCTGGATCTAGGCCTTGATGGGTAGAAAAAAAAGGCCTCACAGATTTTTTAAATTCCTATTGTTTTTAATCTCTATCAGTATCACCTTAGCACTCCATTGCTCACCATTCGAATCTAGCTGGCAGCCCCACAGATTCTTATTAGTTCCTATTCAAAGGTGATTAAATCTTTAAATGACTAAGAGTCAGAAAAGTAAGCTTAGCTCTTCTAAAATGGAATTTTAGTCTCTCAAAGTAGCCATGAATTAGTAATTTTCACTCAGGATGACCTGATTTCCTTTTGTAAATTATTTTTGAAGCTGGTGAGAGGCCCTTAAACTGTGGTAGGTTCTTTCTTCCTCTCTGCGTATGCCAAACCATCTGTCGCCACTGGCCCAGGTGAATGTTTTCCCTTTTCCAAACAGTGTTGGTCTTTTTTCATTTTCCCAGTGTTGATGTGAGGGGTGATATATGGGCAACACACTCCCAAAGCCCGGGGCAAAGGGAGGAGGGACACTGGTGGGCTCTCTGCCCTTAACTCTGCTCTGTTTCCCTTCTGCCAGTAGATGGTCTGCCCATGAGAGCAAGAGCCTATATTCTATCTCACTCCAGAAAAAGAGCCCTCCCCTGAGATCATCGAGTGGCTGGGCATACCCAGAGCCCATCTGACAAACATTCCCATTCTCTTTCAGAATGACAGGCGTCTCGACTCTTCTGTTGTAAGGCGAAGGCACTGCTTTCTTACCTGTAATTCTGTTAACCTTCTTGTTGGTCAGGCTCCCAGCAATGCCAGCAGCGTGCGCTCCAAGGCTGTATCCCAAGAGATGGACATTGTCCAGGGGATAGTTAAATTCCTCCTTTGGAAGAGAGAAAGAAAAAAGCGCTCTTACAGTTCTTTACAAAAGATCAAAGCTAAAAGAAATAAAATGAATATAAATTTTGTTTTCAAACTGTAGGCAATACTGAAAACTGATTCTACTTATTTTAATTTTGTGTTACCGATAAGAAAGACACATAGTCTAGGGCTGAGATTTTACTCTTTCCTTAACAACATATTTGAATTTGAAAGTTTTTCAATACATCTGAAATTGAAATGTATTTCCATACATCTGAAAATATGTGTGTGCATGTAGAGTTACATATAGATGTATATGCATAGATGCACATGTGTATACATATAGATACACACACACGCACATAAATTTAACTTTAACCCATTTTCCCCTACTCTAAATACTCTGCATCACTCTATTCTTTAAGGTCAGCCAAGCAATGACTAAAAATCAGAAAATATTACAGGGGAAGGGACCACGGACACATATGGTCCAGCCTCTTCATTCACCAGATGAGAAGCCTGAGGCCCAGGGAGGTGATCTGATTTGAACTATATCTGAGTGGAAAGGGACAAAGACCCGCCATTTGTCCCGCTCTGGCCAGGAGATCTGTTTTGGACACACAAGCCTCTGCCCCCGGTCTTACCGCCATCCAGTTGATAAACGTGGCCACATCCTTTCCCACCAGCTTGGTGTAGCCCGCGGACACCGGGTAGTGCTGCTGGGCCCGCGACAGCCAGTCCACCACGATGACGTTGGAGTCGGGTTCCCTCTTGTACAGGGCGGCCACAAGCTTGGGCACCCAGCTCTCGTACATTCCTGTCACCTGCAGAGGGTGATACAAGCTTTCTTAAAATGCCCACCTACAACTTGTCACAGATGTGTCAGCCCAGTACCCCTACACGAAGTGGGGGAGACAACCCCCCGAGGAAGCCCGTAGGCTCCGACAGAAGACTCAAACCCACAAAAGACCGCGGAGACCTGCAGCTGCCCCTCGGGCGACAAATTAGAGCATCCCCAAGAAGGGCGCGCTGGGCTCGGGGACGGCAGACCGCAGCTTGCCGCGCTTTCAATTTTAGAAGCACGTTTTACGAAAGCAGTAAAACTTCAATAATTTAAAGTATTCAAAAGAAAAGATCAGTCAGAACAAGTTAAAATTTTGCAGCAGAATTACAGACTATATTTTAAAAATCAGCTTGAATACTATCAATTAGGCTAATTGAATGTTTCCCAAAAGAATCATTTTGGGGGATACAAATGCACTTTTTTTTCTTATAAAGAGTCACATACACATTTGATGTGCTAATGAAAAAAATAGTCTTAAACATGCTAATGTCCCCTAACAGAAGTAAGTTTACTTAGCAATCCCTTTCTTAATATAGAAGAAAATGATGAACTTCAGCTCAGACTTTTTCACAAGTTTCTCAAATTCTTCATTATCAGCGTGGAAACTAATGAGGTTTAATGGTCACATTTCCCTAATTATTAGATCGGTCATGTTTGGAGGTAAGCAGACTGCCAACTATAATTCTTCACTTCTTGTTAATAAAGGCCCCAAAATTCAAAGTCAAAAGAACTGTGGGGTCCTCAAATTAACTCTCTTTATGTAGAGAGGAGACGTTGGACACCTGTGGAAAGATGCACACTTTGCAATAACAGAAACACATTTAAAAACTGCAGATTATAAAATTGCACACACCATCCTGCCATAAACCTGTACAGCAACAACCTGATTTAAATCCCCAAATCTACCCACCCTTAGAAGACCTGAGAGCAGATCATATTGTCAAGGTTAGTCACCACGTACCCCACAAAGAAGATTCTGAAATCTATGTGTCAGGCAGCGTTTCAGGGCAGACCTGTAAAATCTTTCATCTTCTAAAGGTAATTCTAATAGGAAATAATAGGATTCTTGAATTTCCAAACCAAGGGACTTCGTTTGGAACCCTGATTTAGAGGGTGGGTTCTTTCCGACTTACGCTTCCATTTAGTTTCGTGTATTTTCTAGACCAAACTATCTAAACATGGTCGCTTGCTTTTGCCTCATACAAACAAACTGCACGCTTTTCACCACATTGCTGTGCTCTGAGAATCCGACCTTGGTTCCAGCCCCAGCTCTTCCACTGACTACTATGAGCCACGTAGGCGCTGCTTTAACCTTGCTAGGCCACCTACAGAGCAAAGGCGTCAGACTCAGGTGATCTCCAAGTTACCCTCCACCTCATAAATTTCTCCTTGGGACCATTCTGCTTTCCAATTTACTTGCAGTGATAAAATCCCAACTCTATAGCTATTTTAAGCATGAAGAGAAAACAAAGAAGAAAAAATACAAAAGCGGTGTTGGCCCATTAGGAACATCATAAAATCTTTGAACATGTCTCAGCAAGTCTGCTTCAAGTCTGGGTGCAGCCTGGGCCTTCGAGGGAACCAGCTGGAGCACTCACCTTGCACAAAACCCTGAGAAATTGGTCCAGCCCCCTTCTCCTCTATTTGAATCTATTCGAGATTAGGCGCCACCCGGTGCAGCTGCTTCTCAGGGCAGGAGGATGTCATTTCTTCAGAAAACAATGTTAATCACTCCTCCTTCCAGCCAGGGGCGAGGACCTCCTACAACACTATGAGAAGCCTGCCCTTAAAGCACAGGCCTGGGAAGCCCCAGCAGGTGTCTAAACCGCCTTCTGAGCTGTGCCCCGGGCACGCTGCACCCTAAGCGCGCCTCTGGACTCCTCATGACAAAGCTGCAGAGCCCCCCGCTTCCCTCGGTCTTCAGCCCTTGGTCGCTGAGCAGTCTGCCTCAGACAAGGCAGGAAAACCTTGTTTGCTCTAAGGCCCTATTATAAGTTTTTCTGTACTATCGACGTTTCCAAATGAGGCAGCCTGTCAAAGAGCAAGTAACCCAGCTTACTCCTGCTGTGACTGATACTTGTCTTAACTGCCTGTCAACTAACCTAATCTTTCCTTTTTTAATTCAACATATATACTGTAACTAACCCAAAGGGGTGGGAAATCCAAGTGAGCACCCGCCTTCTTCAATCTGGAAAGGTATTCTTTTCTAGGTTTTCCTTCGTAGGTTCCTTAAGCCAGTACCAATTTTTAAGTTTTTATTATCAGACCCACAGCTGAACTGAAGCCCTCCTTGCCACCTGCGCCAGGGAGTCAGCTGAACCAACCGGGAGTTCGGTGGCGGTGAGCCGGGCCATATCCAGCATGGCTGGATTGCGAGGACCAGCCAGCTCCATGTGGTGAACCTCAGCCCCCCAGACAGCGGCCAAGGCCCGGAGCCCAGGTTCTCAAAACGTCAGGACCACAATGTGAGGTATACAAATGGGTTTCGTGGACAGTAGGGCCAGGGATAGAAATGGGCACCATTTACTGATGCTGGGTTAGCTGTGTCATCTTAGCATGAGAAAAAAAAACCACGTTTTTTAAAAAATTCCTAAAGTATAAAATTCTCTCGTGGATAAGATGTGTAAGATATTCAATTTATTCCTGTCATATAAATGTTTATTTAGTTTAAACTTTTTGAAGGGTTTAAAAGCCAAGTTCTATATACAACCCAAATGTCTCTAAAACCACCAAAGATTACTTTTTCCTATTTAACTCTTTTGAAAAGATTTGTTAGGAATTTGAATATGTATATTTATCAAAAGATATGTAATTAACTCTAGTAAACAGATATACTTCTATTAAAATAAACACCCATGTAAATTCTATTAGAAGTTACCTTCATCTCCATGAAAGTTTTAGCAATTGTCCTTTACTGTCAATAACAGTTGGGACTAGAAGTATGTCAATCATTTAGAATTTAGTACCTATTACCATATTTGCAAGCTCTGACATAATGAAAGGTTATATCTCTTTCACCATCCATTTTATTTAAGTCCTCTTTAATAAACAATGAAATCTGCTCACTAGGGATTTAAAATATTAAAAACCAACTGAAGTATTTAAGTAAGAACTACACCACATAGAGTGACTGTCTGGCATATTTAGAGAGAACTAGTTTATTCATATTTTTTTAAAGTAAATTTAACTACAGTTTTTACCACTTCTAGTCATCTGGCCTGACAGTTCCATGACAAGCCCTCTTCCATCTCTAGGAAAGCTCCCTAAAGTTTATAAATGGAGAATGTTGGACGCGGAAGGATGTCTAGTCCAACCTCTTTGTTTTACACATCAGTAAACTGAGGCCCAGAGATGAGAAGAGCCTTGAGCCACATCACAGAGCTGGAGAACAGCAAAACCAGGACTGGAACCAACACCTCCTCACTCCCACAGGTTGTCTTCCTTAGGAAAGAACCTTTGGTGACGTGCTGGGCAAATCAGGATCCTGCCAGTTCCACCAGTTCCCCAAAATGACAACCTACATTCTGCTCTGCAGTTGAGCAAAGCCGTGTTTTCCATTTCACAGCAACGGCTGGCTCAAGGGCACCAACTAGGTACCAAGGTAAAATGAAGGTCAGCACTGTCCGGGGGAAGTGACTGTCACCCTGTGACTTTAGATTCCACAGTCCCCAGCTTGAGCCAGAATTGCCTTTACTCAAGTTTAAAGCAAAGCCATCGGAAAGCAAGCAGAAGTTTGGGGTGCGGAGACCCATCACTGGGTTCCCAGCAGCTAGGGACAGGAGGCCACCCCAAGCCACTCCTTCCCAAAGAGCCTCTCTTACCGTCCAGCCGTGGATCACCACAAAGGTTTTGCTGCTGTGGTTAAAGTGACAGTTAGACAAGGATTCTCGGACTCCAGGAATGAGGTGGCAAGTGTCCTCAACTGTGTCTTCGGGGGTCCGTAGAGCAAATTTACTTTCAATGTCTGCAAAATCTCTTTCTCCTGTAATTTCTGAAAAGGAAAAAAAAATGGATAGAAAGTTAATTGGAGGACTAGATTCTTTAATTTGATGACATCGTCAGTATGTTTTAAGTTCACAAGCAGCCAGCACCGATACTATTTTTGCTTCTAAAATTTTTTTTTAAATGAATGTGTAAAAAAAAAAAAAGAAGAACGTGAATTGCAAGAGAATGATGGATTCTCTAGCCATGATCACAGTTGACAGAGACGGCCTTCAAATAACTGTGAGTTAAGCAATATTGATCTCTCCTCTATCTTCCTTCCTCTCCTTCAGCAGGGCGTGTGTGTGTAACTGCTATTTGAAACTCCTTAGTTAATTCAGTCTTCTCTCAAAATATGAATTGGCCAAGGTCGTGCTGCTAATAGTGGGAGAAAGAGTGGAGACCAGAACCCAGGTCTCCGGGTTCCAGGTCAAAGTTCATTCTCTTAGGGAACATTGGCTTGTGGCTCTCGCGTTGCATAGTTCCACTTATTTCATCTATATGCCACCCTCTTTAAATCTGAGTATATCAAAGGAATGTTTTCCCACAATAGGATACAATAAAGCTTGTTTGAGGGAAGAGTGTTTCCTTTTCACCAGCATAATTTTTTAAATATTAGCAATAAGAAAAGTTGGAGACACAAGGAGGCTTTTGTATAGAATGGGTCCCACCCCATGGCAGGACACATCAGTTCAAGATATTTTTAAAAGTCATTCAGTGGATTGTTCATAAATATCTGTGCTATGTATGAGCAATGGTTAACTCTTTCCCCAAGTATTTTTTTTCCCATTTATGTCTTTAGTGTTCCACAAAGTCAAAGCTTAAAAACTACCACAAAGCTGGTTTTGGAGAGAACCCACTTTGGTTCTTCGTAATTAATCCCAAAATGAGTAAGGAGAGAAAGAGAAATTTAGTCTGTTTCTTTCTGGACAATAAATCTAAATGTTGATAAATCTTCACAGGGTATTTGTAAACAATACATATCACTTGAAGTAAACTGTATTGCAGATAAAATCACTATTTTACAAAACCAACACAAAGGGAAGTTACATTAGGGGGAAATATGTGATTTCTTGTCAAGTAAAAATAACCTGTCTCTTCACTGTCAGAAGGTAATACCTTGTAGGTTTCAGATTTCACTATTTAAAACTTTCAGAAGATAAATAACTGAGGTTGTTTAGAAATATTTCTAATTTCTTAATCTAAACTTACTCTCTTTCCACAACTCAAAAGCTGAAAATCTGTCATTTTAAATAACACTGCAAAAGTGAGGCCAAAAAATAAAAATAAGAATGATATTGTACACAGAAAGACAAGCATTCAGACCAAACTTATCATAGATTTATCTGGCAACTGGCCAATGTTTTCCTTTTTAATTATCTTCAAAATTTCTAAAACAATATTGTGGTTACTTCTTGCTATGTATTTTTTATACATAACAAGGTGATCACACACACACACACAATCTCTAGAATCTAGACATTCTAAGATAATTTATTCAAATAAGAGATTGGTATTTAAAGCTTTTTTTCCCCATTTCATATAGTAAAGTTGCACTTGAAATGCACTCATCCATCAAGAATACTCTGCTTCTCATTTATTTGAAGATGTAGGTAGGTGTTGCTTTTCCTTCCTAACCAGAAAGCACCCTGGTGGCCTTATTATTTATCTGACAGTGGAAAAAATATATTGTAGATTTTTAAATCTGATTCTGCTTTCAATATGCAAGAAGTTATTTTATTGTTAGAAAGTGCTTTAGAATATTTAAAACTAAATCAGTTTTCCTCTCCCACATCTCTCCACATGAAATAACTCATGCCTCCTATCTGTCTTATTTTAACATGTTTGATTAGCAATCTTTTTAAGGCAGGAATAATCTGAACAACCTGGCAGATAGATCTCACCCACCACCTATTTGCCAAACTGATATTTAAGACTCTGCCTTGCACAACTCCACAGGACGTCACCCACTTTTAGTCAATTTTTCCTTGGAATTATGCAACACGGTGGCCCTGGTGTTGCTGGTGATTTTGAAATGATTAAGAATATTCTTTGTAATTATTAAGGCTGGCTCTGTACGTTTACACACACACACGTACACACACAGTCTCTTTAGTCCATAGATCTTGTATCAGATTATCTGTTTAGCTGATGGAGAACTCCAATTTCCCACAACCAAGATTTAATGTTGGGCACATAGTTTGCAAAGAAAAATAATAGGAAATTCATACATGCTCGAGCAAATTTGTATTTGGAGACCTTTACTTCACTTTCCAAGGAAAGTATTTTTCATTTTAAGTTACAGAAAGCATATGAAGCCTTTGCCAGGAAACTACTACCACTCTATACGGTATGTGAAGTTTTCAATCCTATGTCAGTTCTATGAATGGAATCATAAATGTCACTCTTACCTTCCCTCTGACGTTCTGATAGGAATTTTCACACTACAGGTGTTTGTTACCCCTCAAGGATGTCTCAGCATCCTAAAGACAAATGTGCTTTACAAACCTCTATCGGCCCTCACACAGCTGACTGGGGCCACGTAGACACAGGGAAAGATGGGTACTGATCGCGAGCACTGGATGTGTGCAGTTGTCCATTACACGCTGGGACTGTGCTTGGCTGGCAGATGAACTGATACGACTTCACTGTTACCAAGGAAATTACTGTTTCCATACATGGAAATGATATTAGTGACTATACACTTATCCTTTTAAGGAGATAAGAACCTTTTAACAGGTCCCCTGGGAAATTAAAGCCATCTAGAATCATAAAAAGGGGGGTATCTAAGGTGTATTTCTTTATAAGAACCTCCATCCTGAATTCAGCTCTTCATATCAGCACCACCACGCCAACCTGGCCCCATCAGACATGTCCCTATTAAGCACTAAGGGGAAATTTTGGGGTGCCAGAAAAATTATAAGTTAACGCATTTCACGACTGTAATCTTTATTCCTAAATTCCTAAATAGATAGCTAAAAATCTAAGTTGGTACATAAAGACAAGGAATTGATCTTGATGTGGATAATAACTCGCAGGTATAAAATTAGGTTGAGAAGTCAAAGCACTTTAAGGATAAATTTAGAGAGGGTACATTTTTATTGCTAGAAAAGGAAAAGCAGGGAGCATCCCAGAAAAGATATTCTAAAGGCAGCTCACAATTATCAGACGAATTTGATTGACATTTATAAGAAGACAAGAGGTACAGGAGCTCGATTATAATGCAATTCTCTCTGAGGTTTCTACTTTCTCTCCCTCTCCCTCTCTCTCCCTCTCTCTCCCTCTCTCCCTCCCTCTCTCTCTCTCTCTCTCTCTCTCTCTCTCTCTCTCTCACACACACACACACACACACACACACACACACACACACACTCCTAAAGACCCTCATCACCATTCATCTGCCTCGCTAAGACTGATGGTCACAATTACTGCCTCAGGCAGCTTCTGCAGAGTGTCAAGAACTGAAGAACAAGTTGAACTGATGAAAATAAAAACCAAGTTTGGCGAGGGGAACAAAATCGATACTGTTATCTAAAATAGTAGTAAACCATACGGCCCGATTTCTCCTCCAGGAATGAAGCCAGAAAGGAGGGCTGAGCTAAAAACACCCAGCCTGAAAGTGAAAAGTGCTCCTCTGCACCTCTTCCCCAGCGCCCGAGTCCGCCTGTCAATACAGCCGGTCACCAGGCAGTCCCTACTGAGCTCAGCCCACTGCAAGTGGCATCTGCCACGTTGCTGTCATCACCCGACACGTTTAATTCCGATCTTAGCCTGGAAATCCACCGGGACCAGTCAAACAGAACCTCAGCGACCGAGCACCCACTCATACGGTCGTCTCCTCCTTTTTCAGGTTTCCTGATGAGGCGCAGTAGAGACTGTGGTGGCTCCAAGAACAAGGACACGGGGCAGTGCCTCCTATCCCCAAGCTCTTCNTCATCTGCCTCGCTAAGACTGATGGTCACAATTACTGCCTCAGGCAGCTTCTGCAGAGTGTCAAGAACTGAAGAACAAGTTGAACTGATGAAAATAAAAACCAAGTTTGGCGAGGGGAACAAAATCGATACTGTTATCTAAAATAGTAGTAAACCATACGGCCCGATTTCTCCTCCAGGAATGAAGCCAGAAAGGAGGGCTGAGCTAAAAACACCCAGCCTGAAAGTGAAAAGTGCTCCTCTGCACCTCTTCCCCAGCGCCCGAGTCCGCCTGTCAATACAGCCGGTCACCAGGCAGTCCCTACTGAGCTCAGCCCACTGCAAGTGGCATCTGCCACGTTGCTGTCATCACCCGACACGTTTAATTCCGATCTTAGCCTGGAAATCCACCGGGACCAGTCAAACAGAACCTCAGCGACCGAGCACCCACTCATACGGTCGTCTCCTCCTTTTTCAGGTTTCCTGATGAGGCGCAGTAGAGACTGTGGTGGCTCCAAGAACAAGGACACGGGGCAGTGCCTCCTATCCCCAAGCTCTTCCTAGAACGAGCCGGAGAGTGAGTTAAGTGAAGCCAGAGCCCAGACTTACCAGTCCCTCCCAGCTCTACCTTTCTTCTCGGAAACTCTTACTTTCTTAGAAAAATTCGTTTGGAGAAGAAAAGGGGGGAGAGCTGCTGTGCTAGGAGAAGCACAATATAAAGGGGGGGCGGGTGGAGTGAGAGCGAGAGGGAAGGATGAGAGGGATTCACTTCAGGTCTAGTTAAAAATGATTCCCCAGGACCTGTATAGCCAGGTAAAGCATGCGTTGGTTAAAATCCAATTTAATTCATTAATCACTTACGTGTCCATTTAATCAAAGAGTAAAATTAGAGGGGCCTAAGAGAAATTTGAGTCTGGCCCAAACTCCTCTTTTAGAGTTAAGGAAGATAAACCCGGAGAGGTGACACTGAGGAGCCCAGGAATTTAGGGTCCTGAACCTCTAAGGGAGCCCAGCGAGAACGTAAACTCTGGGTGACACATCTGTGTGTGTGTGTGTGTGTGTGATGGTAGAAGGAACACTGTGCTATGGCGTACTTTTTAAAATGAGAATTTGGAGTTTGTGCCTGTCATCTTCTTGGCCAGTGTCAAACGCTCTCCGGGGGAACAGGCCACTGAGGGATGTTTAGGGCTCTCGGAGTGAACCTCTAGGGGCCTGGCACAGAACACACTTGTCTTTCCCATTCAAGTCCGCTTTGATGGAATCTACTTTTTTTCTTTTTTTTTTTTTACCCTAACAAAAATGTTCTCTCACACGATGCAGTACTGAGATAAACTCCTAAAGAAAAGCCATGGACAAAGTCGACTGTCGCTTGCACCACTGCGCACGTGCCACCTGAAAGGACATCCAGGCAACACCACCCGGCCGTTTTCTTTTCTATTCTGCGTTTCATCATTAAAGAAAAGACACAGCAGCAAGTTCTGGGGTGGCTGCTCTAAGCCGAATAGTTCCTCCTTTTCAGTGGCTGTTGAGTGTTAGCTGGACGGGGGTTCCAGGGAGGCCGGGGCCTCTGCCGCGGGCGGGTCTCGGGCTGCGCCCGGGTCCCCCCGCCCCGCCCCGTAAGGAAATTCGCACGTGGCCTCCAGCGCCTGAACCCCGGCGAGCCGGCGGCTCCCGCGCAGCGACTGCGGCTCAACCGCGGCCTCCCCGCGGCGCCCAGAGCGGGGCTCTGCTAAGAAGACAGTAAGGGCAGCCGGTGAAAACCTGGCAACTCCCAAGTCCGCGTCTTCAGGAGGGTCACCCCTTCGCTAGGTTTGCTGGACGCTAAGAAAGCCAAGCGTCCAGGAGCGGCAGCTGGAGAGCCTCCCGGCGCCCTAACGCCAGCAAGACGCCGGGTCCCGGTCCCCCGCGCCGCGCGCCCCCGGTCCCTGCCTCCTTCCCTCCCACCTCGACGCAGAGAGTGAGCGCGTCCTGTGCTTCCAGGGTGCAGAAAACCATGCCCCTCGGCGTTGGGGCCGCTTCTCCAGAAGGGGCCACTTTCCCGCCCGCGCGCCAGCAGGCGGCGGCTGAGCCGCATCCCGGGCCAAGCCAGGGTCACCTTGGCCCGCGTGCCTCTCATTCCAGCCCTCCCCCTCGGCCGCGGCGGGGTTGTTACAGCGGGTCACAGCTGAGCCCTTCCTCCCGCCTCCCTCTTCCCGCCCCTCGCGCCCCCCCGCCCCTTCCCGGCTGCGCCCGGGCGCCTGGGAACGCGACCTCGGCGGGAGCGGAGCGGACGGCGCGGGAACCGGGAGGGCGGGAACTTCGAGCCGCCCCGGCGAGACCGGAGGGAGGATTCCCTTCCTCCGGCTCCCGGATCCCGCCCCAGCCACTTCTCCGGGGAGCGCTCGGGCTCGGAGAGTCCTCGGCGCGGGTCCGCATCCCCCTGCCTCTTCCTCCTGCGCACGCTCCGGGCGCGTTCGCGAGTGGCCGCTGAGCCGAGCCTGCAGGTGGAGGGGGGGTCTGCCCGCAAAACTTACTGTTGGCGGCGGCCACCCCTCCGCGGGAGGCGGTCAGACACTGGAGCCAGACGCCCAGAGCCACCAGGAGCAGCGCTTTGCTCTCCATCTCCGGGTTTGTCCCTCGGTAGGAACTGCAGGGCACGGTGGACGCGGGACAGACCGATGGACCGCGGAGCCGGCGGCGGGAGCAGGCTGGACCTCGGTCCTGCGGCGCTCGAGTCGCCTGACACAGCGCAGAGCCAGACAGCGGGAAGCGGCAGGTTTCCTCGGAGCAAGAGGAATCGAGTCTGACACTGTTCCCACTCCACGGCTGCTTAAGTGACTGGAAATATGCAAATAAACCTCATCACCTATTGGCTATAAAATCATAAGTTGGGGGGAGGGCCCTAAATTCCCTTCCAAATGTTTGAGCAAACTGTGATGAAGATCAGGCCTGCCAGCGAGAAGAGGGTGAAAGAGCAGGAGGGGTTTGTGGATTTCCTACTCGCTTTTCCTAAGGGGTCTGCTCTCCCGGGACCTCTGCACAGCACCAAACACAGGCTTATGCGGATTTACGTTAAGGACTCCACAGTCAGCAGTTTTCCAAGGAGGGGAAGTTAAGCTGTTCAACTACATTTGGTCCAAACTGAAACCCACTCCTCTTTTGATGGATCCCGTTTGTCCTTTGTAGGGTTTATTTACCCTGAAATTATCCTGGACAATGTCAGTTTGGGGGTCCATAAACACACCCTGTTCTGTAGCTTTGTGCTTGGACAATCCGGCATTTTAACATTGGCAAAATACATTAGCCGATGTGGTGGAGAAAAGCCCTCTTACTGTAACTAATTTCTAATTTTTCCCTCATGCAGATTATACCCAAACTCATCAAAGAGTGCAAGGATAACATTTTCTCCTCAGAGGCAGAATATCGAGGTCAAAGAACCTAAAACTGTATTGTTATGCAAAGTGAAAGAAGCCAGTCACAAAAGACAGATGTAAAATATCCACAAATGGGCAACTCTTACAGACAAAAGGAGATTAGTGGTTGCCTGGAGCTGGGGAATAGGAGAAGAGGAACGTGGAGAAGTTTTGGGGGGATGGTGATGAAAATGTTTTAAATTACATTATGGTGATGGTTGTACAACTGGGTAAATACACTAAAAAAAAATTGACTTTCACACTTTAAATGGGTGAACTTTGGGTATGTAAATTATATCTTAATAAAGCTATTAACAAAGATGTATTGAGGTATGCAGTTAAAATAAGAGTAATGAAATCATATTGGAAATTGTATTTTTGGCTAAAATGCCCAGAATACTATCAAATATCTTTTTAAGTGTAAAGGATTTGAATTAGCCGGAAAGGACAATTAACTCTATACGCTCCACTTTATATCTGAGAAACAGGCTCGAAAATCAAAACCTCTAATTCACTGTCTTATATTGGATTATTTCTCTGAATATCTTCAATGCCTCCTTCTACTCATCCCTCTCTCTCTCTCTGTCTCTCACACACACACAAACACACTTGTATGATAGAAGGTGAAGTGACATATTCTTTAAACTAGGCTCACGTTTAAAGTTTATCTCAAAAATGAAATACACCTGATAATATCCAAATCATTCAAAGTGTGCTATCCTGAAGACTAGATTTCTGTTTTTAAGTTGATACATTAAATGCCTCAACACAATACCTTGTCTTGTATTGAGATTATTAAACAATATATTGTGCACATTCATTCTATCCTGCAAAATATGTGGAGGAATTTTGAAAAGTGCCGAAAATTAAATCCCTCAGAAGAACAATAGAAGTAAAGAAGGACCATGCAAGGGATGAGTAATTGTGATGGGGCAGTCCTCCAAAAGTTATATAGTAAATTTGAATTTTAAAAAATGACACGAGAGGAGTATAACTGTATTTGCATGTACAGGTACAAAGGACATATAAACGGAAGTGCAAAATGCCTACATTATATAGAATATTCATGCAGCCTATTTTCACACATAAATTTTTTAGAAAATCACTTGCTAATACAACCAAACCAATTTACTCTTCTGTGCCTTTCAGAGAACTGCAAGAAGACTGCTAAAGGGAAGTCTGATGCTTATGGCGTATGTTTAAAATGATTTTCCAGGTTAACAGCAAAATCAAAGAGTTTGAGTAATGCTTTTTTATTATTATTTTTAATAGGAAACCAGTTTTGGAGTGGCCTGTAGTGTCGCACTCTATGTCCGTTGGGGCTGCGGAGATTTCCAAGAAAAAGTCAACTCCTAGTAGCTCCGCGGGCCGCGGACGC